AAGAAGAAGAAGGAGAAGAAGAAGAGGAAGAATTTATTCGAAAGTAAACGAAGGGAGGCCAAATATGTTTAGTATTCCCATTTGAGGATATTGGTTGGGCATAATTTGGTATAAGCTGCTGCAAAGAAACGCTATCAACAATAATAACTGACGCAGAAAGAAAAAAACGCTTGGCCTCTTATTGAAAACTATGTCCAGGGAATAATGGCACCAGTGCACTGGAATGTATTGTCACCTGCGCTATGTTCATTAGCAGTTCTGTTACCGATTAATATGTACAAGAATCCAATGTCTAGCCGCACTGCATCTCAATTCCCAATAGGACAAGGGTCGAAAAGTGAGTGTTCAAAAGGCGAGTTGCCATTGCATCATCATTGAAACTTTGTCGGGAACATGCAAAAAGTGTCTATTTAACAAAGGATAACAATTTCAGTAAAATACATTCGACTAATCTATGAAAAAGAGGAATTTTGTGTTTATAATAAATTTCCCAAATAATAACAAGTAAGAAAGTTATATTCGGCTAATCTTTTACGTGATGGTGGCTGATATTTTCTATTTTTGTAGAATAAAAGTGAAAATTTATCGCGTTTCTCTATTGTGGTTTATGGGCAAGAAGTAATCCTCTATGCATATCTACTCTTCAAATTGTTTTATGCGATACCCGTATCGATCGCAAATGTGAACAAAATATTAATCCGCCAAACAAGTTAACATACATAGTTTATCGTATTCTCGAAGTCTTTTCGTTTTATACCCAACTGCTTGTACTGCTAAGAAATAAGAAATTCTCGACTAGCAACAACGTTGAATATGCTGAAGACACCATGCGTTAACCACCAACTTTTACGCACAATTTTAGACCGACAATGTATGTTTTCAGGTGAAGAAAGTACAGAATAATTTTCAACATTCTGTGTTGTTTACCTTATGAGTAATGAACGCAAAATGCAAATTTGATCCCTTTCAGCTCTGTATGGGTCTGGTCAATTTTCTCAATTTTTGTACATGAATAGTGCGTTCCTCGATAAAGTAAAGTAATGTCTTCTCTCTTTCATAATTCATGAATAATAAGTAAATATCCATGCAATTTTTGCTTAGAGAAACACAGTTGCGATCATTTTACGCTTAATTGTGTGTGTGTGTGTGTGTTCATCCCATTTTCAATATCAACTTACGTGCAAGAGCTTTCATTATTTCTGTCTAGTTAGAAGACCATAGTTCCATTTTACCGACCAGGAGAATGTTTATCGTAGACATTACAGATAGACCAATACAGGTGCAGACGAACGCGATTAAATCTGTTTAAAATTGAATTCTGATTAAGAAAAATATATACTTTGTTGGGTCCCTGGAGCTTCCTTCGATGTGTTACAAGCGTTTTGACGAAATGGATATCCTTCCTTGATGGGTATAAAAATTAACGCAATTAGATGATAACAATTCTACTTCTATTTTGTTTTTATTCCAAACTCTAATTCTATATTGTAAAGCAAATCGCAGCAAAAAAAGTATATCAAACGCAGAGTAAATGGTTAATAATTATTATTGCACCGAGGTGGTCTCATCAAAGTAAATATAAAATAAATTTGTCAGTAACAGTTCTTCTGCTGTAGAAATGAATATTAGTGAACCATAATTAAAAATTGAAAACGACTGCTTCATCGTTTCATTGTATTAAGATTGATGACTTTAATTCCCAACCCATGTACTTCACATACGACTTAGGACGGTCACCAGTCATAAGAGAAAACAATTCTTACTATGGTTGCTTTGGTTTTGTCCGAATAGTCGTAAGAAAAAATTTCAATGTCATTTTATTACGTTAAGCTGTTAAATCCTGCATATTATGCAGAAAAAAATTCTTTGTTGTTTGTGATATCTCTGTAATGTTACGTAGAATAGGGGGCTATTAAGGAAAATTCAAAACTTAATACATTCAAAATAGCACATAGACCAGACAATGCAAAAAATAATACAAATGCATCACTGTAGTACAGAGTATCGGATAGTCAACGGGCTACAAAGTATTGATTATTTATTTAAATTAATTATCTCGCAAGTAACTTTATTCTCATATTAAAATTACAGACATGTCCAATCTATTGCTTTAAGTAACACCTTTAAATTTCTGATTTCATTAATTAATTTCATAATAAAACGCAGCCACCAAATGAAAGGCAAATTAAATTTGATCGCTTAATTAAGTAAAGGTCAATAAAATTTTGTAAACTCTGAACTGAAATTTGTGGTAATTTATTCGTAATCTATTTATGGACACGTTACGTACATATCCGAGCATGTATTGAAACGCATGTTTATCGAGAAATACGTATTATGCATACAAGTTAACGCACTACTACCGCACGAGCTCATAAATGCCACAATGTTAGAGAGCAAACGAGTTTTATAGTAAATACAATTTAACCACATAGAACTAGTAAATCGTCTGTGTATGTATTTGTGATGAAGTGAATGAAAATCTAAAAGAATGATTTAAGAAAGCAAGCCAGAGAAAAAGGCGACATCTGCATACGCAGCAGGATACGGTCAAGATGGCGGCATTTGCTCGGACGCCGTTGACTTACTTTGTATTATTTTTTTTTTTTTATAACTAAAATATGTACACACATAAACCAAATGTGCTATAGAAGTGCGGTAGTGTGGCCTTATTGTGAGGCAAAGCGACCGAAGAGATCGCCTTAAATTGCAAAATTAAATTAAAGTTGAAAAAACCGCATGTTTGAACAACTCTTTCAATTTCATATTAAACGAACACTGTTTGGTTGTCCATGGAGACGAAGGATGATAAGCAGCAGCTGTGTGTATTAAACAGCATAAGAAAAGCAAAAGGAGAAAAAAACAAAAAAAAAAATAAATAAAGACACGAGAAGAGAAGAGCAAGGAATCAAATGCAATAAAGCGTACACTCACCTCGAAATAGTTTGCGTTTGCCAGCCAGTTGCAAAGGCAATGAAATGCCAGCTGCAGTAGCAGCAGCATCCAATTGTACAAGAACACGAGACGCACCAGAATTCGATAAATTTGATAATGAAGATGGTGTTGCCGTTGCTGCTGTTACACTTGATGTTGCGTTGCCCACTGTTGGGGATGTTGGGCAATAGTTTGTCGTGTTCATAAGGCAATTATTGCCGCTACTGGCTAAAGCGAGTGTTTGGGGTGTTTTCATGCGTAATGAAGAGAAGCTCGAATTCGCGGAATTAGAAGCAGTTAAAGCGATGCCCGAGCCGTTTGTATCTGTACCCAAATTTGCCGCCAAACTAGACTGTTGATGATGAAGTTGAGCTGGATGATGATAATGAACATTTGATGTAACGTAGTTAGAATTTATTGGTGCATGATTGCTAGCCTGCTGTAATAAAGTGGTAGCAACGCAAGCTGGTGTTTGACTCGTTACAGGCGTCATATGGCCAACAGCGACAGCCGTGGCTGGTGGCCCATGCGCTGGGCAAAACGTACGCAACTCCCCATTGGCATCCATATAAATGGGTGGCGCGTCTACCGGCTGCCAAGACGGCAGACCACCCGCCGTCGGAATTAGTTGCACCGGTACAAAATGAGTATGGGGCTGATTTGTCGTCATATCACTGTTATTACCATTATTACAGTTAGTTATAGCGGACTGTATGTGTATGTGAGGTATACCCTGACTCATGGCCAAAATATGTTGCGCACAATGTTGTTGATGAGGTGTTAAGAATAATTTTTGTTGCTGTGTCGTTTGTGAAGGCGATACCTGTTGCTGTTGCTGGGCTACTGACGTCACCGTGCTCAAGGTATGACAGTTTTGAGGTTGAACTGGTAGTTGTTGCTGTTGAGATGGCGAATACTTTTTCTGCTGCTGAGAGTGATGATGCTGTTGTCGATAATACACCATAGTTTGCTCAACCGAATACAAGGCATTGTTTGTTAAGGAGGTCGACGAAGAAGACGTACAAGTGTTTGAGGTAACCACGGCAACCGCATTATCTGTGCTTGTGGCTGCAATTGCGGCCGATAGCTTTGCTTTAACAGCTGCCGGTTGAAATGGCGGTGCCAAAGGTGTTAATTTCGATTTTAATGCTATTAGAGTGGGTGATAGTTTTGCTTTTTCTTGCTTTATTAAACGGCGATCTCTTACATTATCGCAATTCAGACTTTGCAGTAAACGTTCAGCGGGTGTTAAACCGGAAAATCGACGCGTATTGTTATTATCGTCTACCGAACGATGACCGCCAAATTGATTATTCGCGTTTAAGGAACGTTTCGTACGCTTAAAAGGGGAACTTGTCAAAGGTCGCGTTTCAATGGGCGTTTTGTCACAATTGGTGCTATTTTTGATGGTGTGAACGTCCGCGTTATCCTTATCGTAAAACAATTGAGGATTATCGATAAATTTATAGCTTTCTCCAATAAAGGCCACCAAGTCGGAACAAGAAAAATTTAGCGAAGGATTTTTGTACAAAATGGAACTTTGCGGTTTATTATTATTATTATTATTATTATTATTATTATTATCATCGTTTCTGAGAATTGATTCGAGTTTAGAATTATTTTGATTTTCGACACCTGCACCGACAACAATAATTTTCCTCCCTAATAAATTATTTTCTTTTTCAGCTTTTGCTTTATTTTCGTTTTCATAATTAAAATGGTTGTTCATACTTTTCGCAGTCTTAAGCTTCGTTACGGATTCTTTTTTCGATTCTTTACCTTTTTCTTGGTAATTAGAATCGATAACATGTTCGATTATTCGTAAGTTTTCATAATCGATAATACGTTCTTCATAAACATAATTGCCCGAATAATTTGGTAAGTCATCATCTTCATTATCATCATCATTACCATTCTCATTATCTATCTGAACGCAATTCCCATCGACGAAATTATGCAAGCTATCGATATTAAAGCCGTTTGTCAAATTCGATAAACTGTCTGCGACTTGAATTTCTTGCGTACACAAACAACTTTCATGGCACAGAATATCATTTGAATTCTTTGAAATTACAACATTCGACTGTTCAAAATTAACTGATGGAATCTGCGTTTCGCTACCACCTGCTGATAGATCAGAATCATTTTCCTTTAAATTACATTTTTCTAAGGAATGTTTTCTCGTTATTACTAAGCCATGATTTTGGACATCGTTGCCTAGTGATGATAAAGAATTTTTAGCAAGATCTGCTTTTGACACTTTAGAAATTTCTTTGCACTCTTTCGCTTCTGAATGCGCCCTATTCGCACCAGCATTCTGCAAGCTTTCATGCTCCGTATTAACATTTTCCGATAATTTTATTTTATGGTTTATTTTTGATTTTTGTGTACTTGCATCAGATATCTGCTCATTTTCGCAATTATTTTCACTACTCTTCTCGGTTATCACTAAATTATCACTATTTTTTTGAACCTCTTTCGAAATGCTCTTGAGTTTCGAATTTTTACTTGATTTAATTTTAATGAAATTTTTCGAATTTTTCACTGTTTGTACCCGATTACTTAATTCGTCACGTTCGACACGCGTCTCTTCTAACATTTTCTCATTGTTGCAATTTGTTACGGATAAGCTATCATTTTTGGTATCATCATAATAGGTTTTTCGCGATAAGCTATGATACTGTAATGATTTCTGTAAAATTTCATGATTATAACAACGATTTTTGTTAGTTATCGATAAATTATTATTTTTCATATTTTCATTTGTATTAATTGCACTCATGGTTAACGGTTTAGTTTCAGTCAACGTTTTTATGGAAGAATCATGATAATCGTTATTTGTTATCGTTTGATTATCGCAATCGTTTAATTGCATTTTCGATGCGTTTAAAATTTTTCGCGACTTTTTTTTACGATTTTTATTAGATTTTAATTTCTTAAGTCTTTTATCATCGCAGCTCATTAAATTTTCGGATGCATCTTTAACTAAAGATAATTTTAAAGAATTTCTGAAAATTATTTGAGAATTTTCTTCCAAGCATACGCTATTAACTGCTAAAGCATCTTTAGCCAAATCGCAATTCGCTAGTTCTTCCGTTTGTGTACTATTATCGATAAGTTGCGATGGCATTTCATTTCCAAGCGTTGCCATAAGCAAATTTGGAGCATTACATGCTTTATTGTCAACCTGTTTTATCTGTCTAATATAAGCCCGTTTTTGTGCCGGAATGAAATCATCACATGAATCGGCATTTTCATCTGTTGCCTTTACTGATGATGTCAGACACAGACTGCCTGTAGTTTTTGTAAGACTGGCATCAACAATATGCTTCGTATACACAACCGAGCTCCCTGGAGTGGCTTCTTTATTATTTCTATTACTATTACTAATACTATTACTACTACTACTACTACTGCTACTACTACTGCTACTACTACCACCACTACTAGAAGCAGCTGCAGCAGTAGAAGTGGCGGTGACAGTAGTAGTATTAGTAGCAGTAAAGTCAACCAAGTTGGTTGTTGCAGTTGCTGCTGCCATTAATTTTATTTCACAAATACTTTACTTACTCCCACTCAGTAAAAACAAGGCAATAATTAACACTTGCTATTTATTGCTGGTCACTATGACACGCGTCACTTGGTGCAAACTTGTATAAAAATGACTGTATTTCTGAAATGGCTAATGGCTTTTATATACGTATATATATAAATATGTATATATGTAGCGAAGTTTATAGTTCCTATATACATTTTACATTTTCCTCTTTCGCCTTTTTCGCCTTTTTTGTTTTTTTTTTTATTTTTGTTGCAATGTTAATATGGTTATTATAATCGATTTATCAAGTGAGAACTTAACTTTCGATGAGAAAATCAACTTGTTGCTGGCGTCATTGATATTGTTAAGCTGTCGTCCATGCCTTTTCTCCCCATAGATTTATTTAGCTCTATTGACTCTTATAAACATCAAGTGCCACCAAGCAAAGAAAATCACATTATGGCTGCTTTATATTGCTTACTATTATCATCCTTATTATTAAATATTATTATTGTTACTTTTCAATAATAATTACAACATGTTGATGCTGTCACACATACGTACATTATAATAAAGTTTTCTTTTTTTTTTTGTCACTTTTTCCTCTACTCATGGGGAAATGTGCATGTATGAGTAAGTGAGTGAATTACGGCGTGGGCATTTTCACGTCTTTCGATAATTACTAAGAGTCATATGCAATAACTTCATATGCACCTCAGCGTAGTCCTATTCGTAGCATATGGGATCATATGAACGATGGTCGTTTTTTAATATATTTCGGATTAAATCGATTTTACTGCTTAATCAAATGCCAGTTCGCATTCGATATGTCGGCATCTGAAACAATGAAATTTAAAGATTAGAAATAAGAACATCATGTTAAAATGTACAAATATATTAGATGGGATAGTGAAAAAATGTAAGTCGGTTTAATCATTGCGAGCTGCGTAAATAAGTTAAAATTTGAAAAATATTTTATAATAATGACTATGATTTTTTATATGTATTTTTGTACTACGGGTTTAACAGTTGCAGTATAGGTGCTCAACTGTCATGCTGATCAAACAAAAAAATTATTTTAGATTTCTGAACAATTGAGCCTTTGCACAGTTCCCTCGCAGAGTGCGATTGGTCCAAAAGTTCGAGAAGAGTGCTTGCTCAGTGCTTAGTTCAAAGAGAAACATAACTGTTAAAGAGTCCTTTCCTCCACCAGAGGCGAAGAAATGTCTACATAGCTGTATCCGTCTACTGCCCTTGAAGCCGATGATTAACTCATTGTCTGTTACCGTCCGAGCACCATGAGATTAAGCCTTTTCTTTGTGAATCTTCTTGAGTAGCCTAAAGATATTAGATGTGTATTGTAGAACTCCTTGCAAAAGTAGTTACACTTCCGTCGCCAGAATGGACACAGAACAGAACTGAAAACATCACTGAGCCATACTACACGCTTTTATTTTTATGGGATAAATAATTATAGTCGTTCTCAGGTACTCGATCCCGCAGTCTTTTTGAGGTTAAGCATCCAGTTTGCGTATCGACATGTTTTAACTCACGGACGAACGCTTTTGAAAATGGATCGGTTTGGAGTATTTTTCGAGCATTTCCTTTGTAAAATCTTATTTTGGAATAAGAGTTTTGTGTTTATGAGTAACTATATTACGCGAAATAGAGTAGTGAGTGCCACTGTAGTGTTTTCACTCGTTGATTAACGTAACTACTCCAAACAATGTCTTCTTGCCTTCCTGAGCGCTTAAAAAGACGGTCCCTGTTCCCATACGAAGGATAATGAAAACACATAGCTGGCAGCGATAATACAATATTTTAAATGAAATATTTTTTACCATTCCCATGAAATAAGCGCTTTTTCTAAAATGATTGATCATGAGATGTCTTCACACTAAGTACATTGTGCAACAGATTGTAAATGAGGATAATTAAAACTTTTCATTTTTTCAAAATTTTTTAAATAGTAAAAATCTCTTGCTTGTACATTGCATAGAACACCTGATTTGCGACTTTAAGAACTGGCGGTAATTTACGCGCGCTTTAATGACAAAATGAACAAAAAGACGAACTGTAGTCAAGAAACTTAGAGTGATTGCAAATATTGATATTTGATTTTTACAGCTTTTCAATGTTACATGAATATATAATGCTAAAATAGTCACACTTGTAGTTTCCTATACTGTAGCAATTAACCGCACGCTTGCTATAAAAACAAGCAATTATTCAAATAATTAAATGAAATTCATTCAGAGTTTAAATGTTTAAAGCTATCTTCAGATATCATTTTCAATTTTTTTGTTTTTTTTTGTTTTTTTTGCGCAAAGGCGCACACCCACAAACACACTCATGGCCCCGTAAAAGCCCTGTATAAAGCATACAAAAATTGCACACGAAAATGCCACAAAAGTTTTGTTAACGACACCGCAATTACTTGCACGCATATACATCCCCATATGTACACTTATACATATATATATATATATATATATATTTCATTAAAACGTATAATTTGCAGCAACCGAAAATAAAGCTAAATATACATATACCATACGTATGTATAGATATGCATATATATGCATATATATGTGTACAACTGTTTGTACCTGAAAGGTTTTCGCAAACATGGTATTATAAATTTTATAAAATCAACTCAATTAAAATGGCTTAAAATTTTTAATAACAGCACTCAAGGGATACACTACATGTATGTATGTCCCTCCGCATAAGCATAAAACAAATCAACACATATATACAAATTAATGCACGCATGTAAACGAATTGCATATATTCGGGTATTAAGTAAATATGTTATTATTTATGTTACGTGTCCCATTCTACAACAGATGGGCATAAGTCGAATTTCTCTGTACCTACGTTCTAAAATAACAATTGCAAGAATTTTTAAACTTTTTAAAACACTTGTAATCATTTGAAAATGAAGGGCCAGTGCCAGTTCCAGTTCCAGGCGCAGCATTTGCAGTGAAAAAAAGGTTGAGCAAAACAATGATTTTCCCGATCAGCTGTACTTGTAGTTGGTATTTGTAAGCTAAAGTCTGCATGACAATATTTCAAAGTTACAAAGTTGATGCGCAAAAAAAAAAAAAAAAAAAAAAATTGATAAGATTCGATGGATCTTAGACGAATATTCCGCCAATGGGAGTTCGTTATTGAGTAATCTGTTAACTTCTCGTTAAGTCTTGAGTCTACTACGAACTCCCATACACCAAAGTTTAGAGTCTTTACGTGCCATTGCTTTATTATTATGTTCCGGGATAAGGATGAGATCGCATATATGGACATACTGATGACAGTTATATCTGAAGTAGCTCTATGCAAGACAAGTCTATGGTTCAATTTTGTTTCACAAAAAATGTCGAAAACCTAACAACATTTGATCCCTTCGCATGCACTTGTCTTTTGTATCTTCAGCTCTTTCGAAAGAAACAAGCCTTTAAGCAAGCAGATTACACGTATACAACTAATGAATCTTTAGGGCGATTGTTATTGGGAAAAAAACCGCACAAATTTCATATGTTTCCATATAGCAGCAAGTGGGATAGTAGAGCCCTATCACTCATTCGATATATGTCTATGTAGTGCAAATGCACTGTAGTGCAAAGTAGCTCGAAGTAAAGACAGTCATTAGCCTTCAAGAGAAATATTGCAAGATTGTGTCTGTAGACATCTGCTGCACCTGATATTATATCCCTCTATAAAATAATTGCAAAGAACATAGCTTAAGCTATCAGCCGTGATCCGAAGAATTACTTCCTATTCACTATCGTCAACTTGTGTAAAGTTCATATACAAACGAAATGATGAAATTATCATATCCTTCAGCTGTACATTCAAATATTAATTAAAACCCTTGTACATATTTCAATGAATAAACCTTAAACGATCATACGTCCTGATTGACACATGTGCAGGTAAACAAATAAAAGAGATTGATTGAATAGAAAATTGAGAGGAACGATAGGAATATACATGAATTTATTGAAATTTACCCCTTGTATAATAACATAAATAATTCATATTATTATAAATTAATTTAATATATGTTTATTGTCTCTTTTTAATAATTATTCATATTTATCCAGTTATATATTAAAATAATACGATAGGCGAGCTTCTAATCAGATAAATATTATATTAACAATTGGATAAAGATAATATGATTGAAAAAAAAATTGAAAAAAAAAAAACAAGCTAAAACAGTTCTACATGCAATATGGAACGATACCTACGATCTAAATGTAAAAAATTTGCGCCTATGCATAATATATATGCATTATATGTATACAAACGAATACCTACACATACGAACTTGATTAATGATTTCAAACTAAGGAACTGAGAGACAAAGTTTAGGTTTTTATTACCATTTTCGCAGTACAAGACTTTAAATTAATTGCCTTAAAATCTGAAAAGAATCCAAGATAGAAAATGACATCGATTCGGTCTTAACCTCTTTTTCGACAACCAGTAACTTATAAGAGTAAACCATGGAAAGGGTTACTCTAAAACTTAAAGTCCGTATATTTACCAGGCCCATCTATTACTTTAGTATAAAAAATGGAATTATGATGATGATGATGACGATGAAATAACTCTTCCATCCATTCCTCCAATAGAAGAAAGTGGTAACGCGGGACCAACAGACACTACAATTTGATACCAACACTTTCTGGGGGAATATTTGAAAGGTTAGTGTACAAAACGTCTCGGTAAAATTAACACAACCCTTTACAATTTTTGCATGTTAGCTCAACACTCACTTTGCATATATGTCGTTCAAGATTTCGTAATGGATAAATATTAAATGAAATCAACAAAAAAAATTAAAATTTCAGTAGAGTTATGTTAAAGTAGCAATGTTGGTTTGCTTTATTTTCGCTTCGCGATTTAATCATTAAACGAAAATATTAAGAAAACAACAATTGAGTTACTAACAATGAGGACAAAAGATGGAAAGTATGCGAAGTATGCTGCAAGAAGCCCATGCGACGAAAAAGAAGCTATTTATTCTTCTTTATTTTCCATTATTTACCACATGTTTTGTATGTAAGCATAACACACCAACGTACAAGACGGACTTACTGATTGAATGATTTAAATGAAATAAAAGCACCAGTGATTTCAAGTGAAATGATTTGACGAAATGACTTAAAATGCCTTAATTAGTGACATATTAAAGATTCATTCTAAGTCGAATACGAAGTTATGCATTATTTTACATATTCGTTGTTAGGACAAAAATATAACACTCGCAAGACTAACACTTGATAATCTCCATTTACAATAATAAGCAAAAAATCGAAAGCAGATTCATTCAGCGCTGCGTCGAACCCTGCTGACAACGACATTTATTTATCAAGTAATATAAGAGTAATGTAAATATGACATGAAAAACAGTATCACAGGAAATGTTTATTGCATATGTCATTAGTGAACA